GGCGACAATCAGCGAGAAGATAGCATGTAGCGATGTCGCTGCACACGCCACACGATTCCAAGTATCAGACCTCGGGGACTCGAGCTCGTCTGATGTTGGAATCAGTGTCGGGTCAAGGCTCAGAAAAAATACGGGGACAAAGTATGGTTTCTGAGAGTCAGATGCGCTGTCCGAGAGCTGTTCTACCCGTCGAAGAGTAGTGAATGAGGGGTTTTCTCTGCAAGCCGCGAGCGCGACTCTCTGGAAGCCTTTCAGCCACAGGAGCAGGTAGAGGAACGGGGGACATACGCGAATGGAAGGGGGGAGGCGTTGTATATTCCGAACCTCCAGAATCGGATGCATGACAAAAATGCAGATGAGGGTTTGAAGAAGGAGGCACTGATGCGGTGACGGTCAAATTGATGTGATACAGTCACGCTTGAGTGATCTGATGATCACCTTATGAGCAACTTGAACTTCGGACATGTCTGCCACACTGAAGAGTTTGTTTGAGATCTACCTTATGGAAAGATAATTTGTGAACGATTTATCAGCCTCTCAGCTCCCAGGCATTGAGGCCGGTAACATTCGAGGGTGCATCCAGTGTTGATCCAGTGATTTCAACACCCGACGGCCTGAGAACGGAGCTAGTGATGTTCTGGCTTTGATACCAGAGCCAAAGCCAAGCCAGGGCTGGGATTGGCTCAGGCATCTTAATTTGGCTTTAACCAAGGTGAATATCATACCACTGGGAGATGTTCAAAAAACAAAAGGGGTGCAGCTGGCTGCTACGTTGCACGAGCGGCCTCATTATACAGTGAGCCGGCCGCGGCCACTGAGCAGGCTATGCCATGTTCAAGAAGGCAATGTCCGCTTCCTGTGCAAGGCAGGTCGGATTTTCTGCCATTTGGAGTCGAATTTATGCTCGGTCCGTCCATGTCTGTAACTGATTGTCCATTTGAAACCGAGAAGCCCGAAACGGCGTTCAGAAAAGTAGGCCGGAAATGACAAGCGGCTACATGTAATTGTGTTCGGAGCTGGCAGAACAGCCCAATTCATTACTATCCGCTCAGCCGGACAGAAACTCTCCGCTCACTGCATGTGTCCATTATGATTCGATCGGTCCATTATGAGTAGGGTGATCCGTCAATGCAGCACGCCGTTAACCGACTATTTAGCCAGCGAATATCACTGCCCAGACGTTATACACATCCACAAGCCAGCCATGCCCAAGGACGTTTCTTCCCTTTCCGACTACATCCGCGAGGTTTTCGCCCTGGTCGCCCTCTCCTCGGACGACAAGGTTTCCCATGAAGCCTTGAAGAAGTTCTTCTCGCCCCACGCTGAGGAGACGTGAGAGGCTTTAAACTTCTGAGAAGATAATCCACTCATCTGCCACTTCGACTAGGGACGTTGCCACAGGCACCGTTTACTCCCGCAAGGAATACCTCAAGGTTGTCAAGATCCTCCGTGAGGAGTTGACTGACCGGAAGCTTGTCAGTCAGACGGTCGTTATCGCGACACCAGCGGATCCTAGCAATAGGACGGGGGCTCTTGCTACAACCCATGTGGTCACTGCGGTGCAGAACGGGAAGCCCGTCACCGCAACGTGTGTTTTATCCATGCGAATCCAGTGGGTTCCCGAAGAGGGTCACGAGGAAGGCGGACACAGAGAGATTATCTCGGACGCTTCGATTCTGAATGTTAGCTCGTAGGCATAGTAATGATGCTGGTCTTGCAACGTTGCACCTATTTAACTTCGGGAAAGTTGCAGGGAGAAGGATGGAACAAGACAACAGACAAGTGAAGTGTTCGAGACTTCTGTTGATCTATCAGTCCTAGCATCCCATTCACCTCGGAATTTGTGAGGAGGAGCCGAATTCCCTGGTGTTCAAGCCAGTTCACCGTCGGACCCGTTGACCAAATTTCAGCTCACAATGCTATGAGATAAACAGAAGCCAGTTTCGCACGACGCAACCAGCAGAGAAGTTTGAATCATGGGAAGGACGAGTGGCCAATTGATATTGAAACGTCACGACCGCAGAGAAGTGCAAGAAGAATCACTGGGCCACAGTGTCAAAAAATTAAAGAGAAGCCAACATGCGACCGTCTACCAGGCAATATTCCATCCCATTGACTTCTATCGCCCGCAGAAATTCCGTCCGTGCAATCGAGCTGGCCAGTCGCTGTGGCAGAGTCCCAACGTCCGCTTGCGGCTCCATCTTGATTGTCACGCTTTTCACGCGTCGAAACACCGCGACCCATAACACCACATTCCCAATGAGTTTTTCGATCTCATCCGGAGAGATCGTGAACTCGAACTCGAGACCCTGAACGCAGTCCAACGATGCACGTACATCGGGCTCCATCTCGCCCTGTTGCACCGGGGGTGAGGCGGGGATCAGGGCTAACGCGAGCATCGGGTGGCGGGGATGGCTGGCCAGCTCTTCGATAATGGTTATGAGAAGCTTCGCTAGCGAGGGGACGGGGCAGTGCACGAAGGTGAAATCGAGAAGCATGGTGGCTTTTTCAAGGGAGGGGAGCAGGCTCTCGCGCGCGAGGAGGTGGCACATCGTGGTTGGCGTCGTGCGTAAATGCCTGAGGCGCGGAAGATACGGGAGCTGTGGTCGACGAATGGCAATGTAAAACCCGTCGCCAACGCCTTTGGGGGCATGCAAAGTAGAAATGTCAAGCTCGACAAGGTTGGGCAGCTTGGGAATGAAGGCCAATATTTCATGCTCTGGCATGATTAGGATATCCAGGAAACCGACGGAGGTGAGCGAAGGAGCGGCCGAAGCAATGAGAGGGAGTATGGTGGTCCATACATTCAAATCGACCGTGACTTCGGAGAAGGTAAGCCGCGAGATAGGACAGCTTCGAAGAACCTCCAGTGTCCAACTGAGGCCAGGTGGGAGGAGCAACGTCGTCGAGTGGATATGTAGGCAAGTGAGGCGGGAAGATCGAGAACAATCACGGGGCAACGCAATTTCGACATATTCCACACCTTGCTCAGAAACACGCTGGAATTCGGGTGGTCGTTGCGCCGATATCGCTCGACGAGGCCGGTATGGTAACCGGCCGAGCCACGACGCAGTATGAGTAGGAGATAGAGTCACGGACAGCTCGTAGGCGTCGGCGAAATAGCAGCCATTCGTCACTGTAAGGATCGTGCACTCCGTCTTGAGGATGCAATTAAGCAAATCCCCGAAAGCTCTCGCCCAGGCGCGGAGCGCCTTGTCGCTCCCAACGGAGAATTTGGAGCAATATACGTGGTCAAGTTCCAAGGATACACTTTTCACGGATGAATGGCGGGAGAGAAAGCCCTCTACACGTTGGAGATGCTGGAGTAGCGGAAACACAGAGGTGGAGCTCGGATGTGGAAAGAGGAAGTCGATGTGATCCAGTGAAGTGTCGAAAAGCGCCATCTGGAGCGCAGCGAGGAGGTCACGGTGGTCGGAGCGCATCGTTATCTGAATAGATCTGGTGGAGGGATCGAGTCCATCGTGCGAAAAGTAGAGTGTGAGGGCAATAAAGTGAAATCTGCGGCAGAGTCTGGCAAGCGAGAATAGATCTTGGGGAGAGAGTGCTTCGTCCGCGAAGATTACGAAGAGGATTTCCGTCGGAAGGTCGAGAATTGAGAGAGATGTGCTGCGAGACAAGGAAGCCATGTTGCAGTACATGCAAGGGTAAACTCTAAAGCTGGAGAAAAGCAACTCGTGTGAGATATTAGGAAATGAGGAGAGATTCCACTCGACTGTACTTGGGCTTGAGGGCCATTGCATGCGCATGGCAGACCGAGTTTGGTTCTTTTTTGAAAATTTTCAGTAAGTTCGCTGTGCAGACCAAGGTGAGTGTCGAGGCAAGGCAATGAGAGACATTTCTTCATATCTTTGTCATTCAGTAAGCACCGCAATGCCCCATTGTGCCCATAGCGTCGCTCACCCTCGCCCGAGCTGCGCTCGGCTCGAGTTCGCGGGTTCAACCCAAGTTCAACCTGTTCAAGTTCAAGTCCAAGGATAACCATTTTTTCCAAGGAGTTGCTTTTTGCTCACCCTCGCCCGAGCTTCGCTCGGCTCAAGTTTGCTGGGCAACAAGTATTATATCTGGAAGCCAAAGACTGAAAACTTGGTTGAACTCCCTTGAGAACGGCTAAGTGTAAGGCCGAGATGACTAAAGATGACTAAAAAGTAAGGGAATGGTCAAACAAAACAGTAACGTAACCGCATTGAGCGCCAAAAACACACGATAATTCCCTTATTAGGGTAAACGTCCAACACGTTGGAACAACGTCATCGCTGCGAAAAACACCTCCTCTGGCGCTAAAGCTGTGCATAACCGAGTTAAAAATAAATTTTTAAACTCGGAAACTCGTACCGTTTGCATAACCACGCACAGGCTCAGCCGACAAGCCACCTAGATCCTAGCCGAGGTTACCAAAGGGGCGAGCAGGAAAGATTCTCGAGATGCGGGTTAAAGAGAAATCCGATAGTGAGAGTGGGAAGAGGAAGCGGAGAAGACAGATAACGAGCAACATGCAGCACAGCCTTCCGGCTATCTCCGCTTCAGTGCGTTCAATAATGAATTCCTCACGGCCGACCAGCGGCGTTACCTGTAATCTGGGGCTTTTGGCTGAACATGGAATATTTGTTAAATTTTGAACACTGGCCTGTTGTAATTATACTCGCGCGGTCCATTGAAAGACGTAATGCATAATATGTCCACAATTCTTCCTCGACCCCCGCGAACAGGTAAGGGAAAGGAAATAAAAGGAGCTTTTATCCAAGGCGACTCGCCGAACCGTCAAAGTAATTGTTAACTTGAACAGTCTTTGCAAATTGCGGTGTACCCATCCGCTGTCGCCACTCCTTGATAGTTCGGCATCCATCGAATCGGTTGAGTTGACGTCTGAGTTCGGGCAGGCAGCAGACGCGAAGCCAGTAAGTCCGATACAGCGCGCGCGCCAGTCACCGGTATTTCGTGGCTGTGGATTCCGAAAAAAAAAGATCCGGGACTGCGTTTTATTCGGGCGCGGGGAGTCGAACCCCGGACAGCGAGCTTTCATTCATCTTGGTCATGATGTAAGACCACTCGCGGTGTTCCCTACACCACACCCGATTTCCCGTTCTTAAACTGGGGTGATTACGACAAAGAGTAGGTAAGAATACCATATTCCGCACAAGTAGGGTGCGACTCGGTACGAGAGACAATCCGGTAATTGTAATCAAACAGGGAGGTGCAGGGCGAGGTGGTGTCATCCCAAGGGTTTAAACGAATGTGTGGATACTATAGTAGAAGATTCCTATACGTGATAGCTAAATTAATTTTTATGCGCGAAGTTCCACACCTTCACCGACTCGCAACTTCACTCCCATCAGTAGTGTTATAAACCGCACTCCTCCCCAGCACCGTCCCATTCGACGCCACCGCAGCAACAGCAACAAACGCACTACTCCCCTTCGCGCTCATCTTCGTCTCAAACCCAGACCGCTTAACGCTAGTCACATTCGTGCTCACCGCGTCCGCCGCATCCCCAGTGAGCAGCGTATACGACGCAACGCTGGTCGCCCCATTCCACGACACGTACACCTCCCCGCCCACGATGGCGACGCTCGGCGGCTGCGTGGGGTGCCCCACGAACTCGCGCGTGGAGGTGCGGAAGACGCGGTAGTTGTTGATGCCGCCGAGCCAGAGCGTGGGGTCCTCTGGGCCGATGACGGCGGAGAAGAGGATGGAGGCGGAGGCGGCGTCGTGTACGGTCACCCAGGGGTTGCCGCCGTAGCCGACGACGACGGTGTCTCCGTACGGCTCGACGCTGCCCTCTGCGAAGCTCGGCCCGGTGTCTGCAAATAATCGGTAAGTTTAGAGGGTAGGTGAAGTAGGAGGAAGGAAAGACGCACTAGGCGCAGGGAAGTAACGCTTCACCAGGGAGACGGTCATGGCGTTCTGGTCGAGCGCGAGGTATTTCCCCGTTGCGACCGGTTCATCAATAACGATCGTCGTATCCAGAACCGCCGCGCCGTCGTCGAACACGGAGATCTGTGCACCGCCCGCGCGCCACCGGACGTGGTGCTGCCAGTGGAACTGGGTGTCGTTGACGATGCCCTGTGCCTTGAAGTCCGACGATTTCCCGCCGAGCCGCCAGATGATGGTGCCGTTCTTGTCGACTTTGTAGATCGTTTGACAGTTGCGTGCGGAGATGAGGTAGTTGCCGTCGGTATCCTAGACATGGGAAGGTTAGTCAACTGAACATCAACCAGAAATTGAGAGTTAGTACTACTGACTTTGTCGATGGAGTTGATGTGCACGGGGTCCCATGCGGTGGAGGAATTGGTGCCTTCGCCGGTGAGCAGGATGTTGTTGTACGATTCGTTGAGCGCGATGTGGTCGATTGATGTCCAGTTGAAAAGGACATCACCCGTGGCAATGTCGATCTCCTGGAAGATGGAATTCAAGTACCACCCGTTCTTCAGGCCGCCGACCGAGGTCAAGTTAAGCTAAATGCCCCATCGTCAACAAAAATGTGTTGCAACAAGAGAATACGACTCACCGGTATGGGGTTGAACGCCGTAACGAGCGCAGTTTTATTCCCCACGATGTGGAATTCATGCAGGTCCGTGAGTCCCGGGTTGACCGCAGAAACGTTGTGCACGATCTCGTACTTCGAATTCAGCATAATCCCGTTCCCAGAGCCTGTCTGCAGCCCCGACGCGCCGTTTCCCGTGCCGACCCACATCGTAAGGAACTGCTGCCCATCGTACGTCTGGTAGTTGAGATCCGAGCAGGCGAGACTCGGGTCGGCCCACACAAGCTCGCCGGTGGAGTCGTATATCGTGGCGGCGGGTTGGACGACGTCGTTGCCTGCCGGACATGTGAGATACAGGGCGGTGTTATCGGGATCGTAGTCAGCGGTGCGTTTAAGGATAGTGAATGGCTGGATCGCAAGCGGAGAGGAATGATAGGTTCTTTCGTGGAGACCGAGTACTCCGGGAGCGAGGAGGGCCGCGAGAGCCACGAATGCAAGATGGGGACACATGTGGGAGCACATGGGGAGAAGATGGGTGTTGCCTTGACGCCAATGGCGGCTTTATACTCTCCAGGATGAGCCAAGAATGAGCCGTTCAGTAACGAGAGTGGAAAGCGGGGAAAGCGGAACTGCGGGCGTGCTCCGTCGGCGGTGCCACCAACCCACGGTCGGATGAGCATCCGAGAAATACCCTCTTCGGGTGATCCAAGTACACGCAAGAATGGCGCAAAGTTGTGTATGTGCTATGTGCGAGCGGCCTGTGGTAAGTATAGCGAGCGTGCATCACCAAAAACGGGGAATAGCGCTGATCGCTTGTGATGGCGGCAATCGAACGCAACGGTGATGCGGGTTTGCAAGCGATTGGCAATCCTTCACATAGGTTTGTAAACGGGACGCAATGCCGGTGTGAATTTGCATTGTTACTGCCATGCTTATACGCGCATTGCCTACGATTGTGTCAGACTTCTACCGGACGAGCCTCAGATTTTTTTCAAAAAAACTTCGGGCTTTCCGTTTCTGCTGTTCGATGGGCAAATTGATGGTTCACAGCTGGTCTCACGATTTATGACTGTAAAATTTAATACATGCAGTGGCAGTTGAGATGCAGGCATTTGTGCACATACGATGGTCGTTACGACACTGGCAATGGTTGGGCAACCTGAAAGTAGGCTTTTTATCCCGACATTAAAGTGGATTACATCGGTGAGAATGTACCCGACTCAGACTTTCATTGGGAGTTGCAACATCGAGTTGTTCAGTTCAGGTACCGGTGGATCCGTCATCACTCCATCATGCATGGTCCGTGCGCGCATCGCCTTTGCGTGATCCAGATCCAGGCTCGATCAAACATTGATCCCACCTCTTTCTCTTCCCCACCATGTCCCTCTTTCGTCGCCGCCACCATTGGAATGTCCCTGGCTCCTTCAGCCTCCCTCAACAGCCCTCAAGCAGCCCTCAACACTCCTAGGCCGTCAATCTTGCTGTCAAACCTCCTCAAGTCCTTCATGAACAAGTTGTCGATGTCAAGCCACCTCAAGTTGTCGATATCGAGCTACCTCAAGTTGTCGATATCAAGCAAGTTTTCCAAGCTACCTAAGTTCTCGATATCAAGCCACCTCAAGTTCTCGATGTGAAGCCGCGTCAAGTGCACTGTCGCAAGCTTTGTTGTCCTCAAATCTCCTCAAGAATCCAAATCTGCGTCAAGAACGGCCTGGTTCCATCCGCCTCGAGCGCATTCTTGATGCTCGACAGTCTTTATCTCAATCTTCGCTTGTCGCCGTCTCAGACTGCATCTCATTCGAAGCACGTTTGACATGTGCGCAGTCCGTGGATGGGTCCCCGGGCATCGCGCCCCGTCCCCGTACTTGTATTTCATGTATTCCACTTGAAATATATTCTCATTGTCTCCTTTATTGTTTAAGCTCACTAGTCTGAGAGGCGGGGATGGCTGAGTGAAAGCGGAGAGCTGTATGGAGCGGGGCAGGGGGCAATACATGGCTACGTGGTGCTTTGCAAACCCCACAATCGATTGCAAACCCCACCACCGTTGGGATGATTACACGAAATCTAGTCGGGTATAAGCACCTGTTAAACATCAGAAGGCTTTTGATGCATTGCCGTGGATTGTGATGATTTTGTACGTCTGCATGGGTTTGCAAGCCCTTGCATTTTCTTCCCGGTTCTCGTGATGTGAGCATGATGAGGAAGATCAGTTTCGGGTAAATTTTCGGTCTGATTCTGATTGGGATGTTGATGTTGATGCTGATTCGACCCGTCCAACGGCCTGGATGACATGTTCAACTCAAGTTTAAATGGATTCGCTCCTGGGTTTGTTCCAAGCCTATTACATCAACCGTAGCTCTCAAAAGGTGCACACATGTGAGAATGAGCCTGGTTCCCTGACGGTTCCAATTTATAGCATTTTACAGCGAACTCAAATCCAAATACATTCTACGGTGCAGAGCCCGCTCTATGCAATCCACGATAATAAGCAACGAAAAGAAAAGTCCTAGAAATCCCACTGTGAAAAAGCAGAAGTCAGTGGATGCGTTGAGCGAATTCGAAGAAAAGCGCGTACCAAAGTACCAAAGGCAGGTATCCCCTCTTTCATGCACCCCTCCATCATCTCGGTGTTCCCCCCCATATTTGATGTGATAAACACGACTTCAGCGCCCCACGAGTCGTACGTCTCCTTGATCAGCTTCATGATGTCGGGTCGTTTCCCGCGTTCTTTCGAATCCCAGAGACAGTACTGCGTCGGCGGCAGGTTATCGGTAATCAATGACGAAATCGTAGGGCCAAAAGTCTTTGCCTGGTCGGAGCCGATCCATATGAGGTACCTGTGCATGTGAGGTCAGTCGAAGAAATAATCTCGGACTGTGCGCACGTACCAATCAGGGCTTTGCAAACAACTCGAGAGGGCGGCGCCGAGACCCGTTCCGGTGCAAACGCGAATTCCGCGTTTATATATCTTCGTGGTGTTGGAAACACCGGCAAACTGGAAGCATAGTCAGTGTGAGGGAGTAAACGATGAGGCAAAAAAACGAACCTTTAGCTGACGCGTCCACATATGTGTCGGCGGATTCTGAACGAGGGACTTAGTGAAATCGCCCTGGACACCACAAATCAAGTAATGCTCGTTGGAGTCTTTGCCCTTACTGCAGAGCGGTCAGCGTGGAAGCGAAGGGCAAGATAATGAGAGACGTACGAAATAGTTCCGAATGCGTGATATTCCAATTGCGATCCTAGCGAAATTCTGGCCAGCAGGCCCTGTTGCATACCCCGCTCGAAACGTAAAACAGCGACTTTTGGCGATGGCAATTCAATCTGGACGGGGACGCGGCGCACGGTGAGCCAGGGAGTGATGACGCTGAAGGTAATAGGTATGGTTTAGAGCGTGTTGGCGAAGGCGGGTGGGAGAGACTCACAAAATAGACATGACAACTGCGAACCAGAAATCCTGGTGGCTGATCATTCGGATGCCGCTCGTGCCCCAAGAGTGGGTTTGGTGATTGTAGGAGTCGCCGAGGACGACGAAAACCCAAGTTGATATAAGACCGATCCACCCGACGACACGATGAAACACTTCGAA